TTTCTTTTTCCCTCTCTCTCTGGCCTTCCCTTTTTTTCTCTTCCTCCGCTTTGCCATTTCTTCTCCCGTCCAGATGTTGTCAAAGTTTATGTATATATAAACTTTTATAAATACAGTTATATTAGCTTAGTATATTGAAGGTTTAATGCCTTTTCATTAATCTAATACACCTGTTACAGCCTCCTGTACCAACAAGATATGGGAGCAATGAGTGTCAGCGCAGATACCAACTGTTCTACCGTTGGATCCATTTCATTTTTTTGATCCTTTCTGCGTTATACTACACCCCTCGCATCTTGGCAAAGGGCAAGGACCACCAGCTCCGGAAACTACTCACAGACCTTTCAGCTCGTGATGAAAAGTTAGTTTTGATAGGTAATTTTCATGCTGTATTATACTGATTGCAAGTGACTAAAATCCTTTTTTTCTGTAAGTCTGGTCACTTTGTAAAAAAATTTTGTACTTCACCTGAGGAATATGCCATGGATTGCATAGAATTTCTCTTTTGCAGTTATGATAAAGCATCGCTACAGGAAGGCACCAGACTTGCTTTGCTATACTTCAAGAATCACAGCTTTGTTCACACCCCTTTGTATGCCAGGATGGTTTTCTGTCACGCATATGCTCTGGTGATTGACATGGCAACTCTTTTCTTCTTCGATTTCATGCTACATGTAAGACCTTTTAAAGTTGGTTTGTAAGAAGAAAAGAATATTTTATTCTTCAATATATTTTTTTCAATGTTTTGTTGATTAGCATTCTATCATTCCAATTTCCAACTGAATTATATTTGTGTAATATTTCTAATCAGTTCAGGTCAGACATTTTCAATTGCCATCATTTATTTATGCTTACTGATAATTAATCTCAATCCAACCAATCATGAATGTTATGAATAGTATGCTTTTGAATACTGCTAATTATCAAAGGTATCTTTGGTTTCAGAATGGCTTCTATGGGCTAGTGTACACAACCTACCCATGGAACAGGAACCCAAGCAATTTCAATGATAGCATGTCTCAGCATTTCCCTCCATATGCGTTCTGCACCATTGACAAATACAACCTAATCAACAATGCAAGAGTGGAAAATTATGGATGTCATCTAATGCTGATGGAATTGTACGAAAAAGTCTTCATTGTGATCTGGTTCCTGCTTGTAGTTCTCATTGCAGTGACAATGCTCTCTCTTTTGGTCCTCCTGTTCCTGTGCCTACCACCCTTCAATCGCCTCCTCTTGCACACCTGTATCACCTCCTCCTATATCCGGGAAGTGAAGAAGGAGGTCTTGAAGATTTCAAGTGTAGGGGATCTCTTTGCCCTTAGCCTTATGAAGCGGCACATGAATGAAAGACAGTATCTCAAATTCCTTGAATGCTTAGTACAAGCCTCTGAAAACCATCTGAAAGAAGTCTTGGTGGAGAGTCAACACACAGATGCAAACATATGCTGAAGTCAATGTTGATACTTGTCTTTGTTAGAAAAAATATTTAATTAGAGAGAATCTTGGTGGAGAGTCAACATACAGATGCAAACATATGCTGAAGTCAATGTTGATACTTGTCTTTGTTAGAAAAAATATTTAATTAGAGAGAAACATTTTGAGAAGTTATTTCATTTTAGTGTTTAATTCTGCGTGTTTCTTTCTATTTTTCTTTCAAAATAACACTTTATTTTGTTTGTGTTAGACATGAGAAGACTCAATGAGAGGTGCAAAGTTTAATTTATGATATGGTATACAGCTGTTACAATTATCTAAGTTCTTGAAACAGAACTTTTGAATACCAGTGATATAAAGCATGAATGATTTAAAATTTAACTCACTCTCTTTGTTTTGCTTATTGTTTTTCATATTTTTCAAAAGATAGAAGTTGATTTTTCCTGTTTTGAACATAAAAAGCAAGTATGCTGGACATGCCTTACAAGAGCAAACTACCAGGTACCAAGTGCATATTATGTTGAAACATTTTATAAACAAATAAACATGAATATGAAACAGGAGAAAGGAAAACCTAAGGCTAGCTACAAACTGATTTTAAGTACACATTCTTTGTTACTAATGCTTTTTGAGTTTATTAGGTTGAATTACTAATGAACAAGTGACCTCACATATCAGATTGAGCAGAAATTTCAGTCCTAGTTTAGCAGTTTTTGTACCACCGTAGGTAAAAAAGTTTTTGCATTTTGTCTTTTTTTTTTTTTTTTTTTACTTTTTTTTAAATTTCCAATTATATTATTGAGATGGATGTTGGTGTAATTACAATTTATTTTGTAATAGATACATTTACCAGTGGCTTGTTTTATTTTTTCTTGAAACCTACAGATTGCTTTTTTTAATAACTACTTTTTGTGTGTGTACATACATGTCCGGTATAAAGAGTGATTAAGCTCCTGCAAATTAATGAAGGATTTGAATAATAACACTGAGTAATGAGAAAATTAACTAATCTGTCTATACAATAATAAATTTATTTTGCCTAATCCTAGTCTAAGAATTATCTATATATTATTTTACCTACATTTCATACATCAACCCTGGAAACTTGAGGATTAGAAAGAGAGACAGACAGACACAGACAAACAGAGAAAGAGAGAGAAATAGTGAGAAGGAGATTGAGAGATAATTCAACTCAATTCAATTCAATTGTTAAAGTGTCTTGATACATAGTATTACAATTTACATTAGTAAAACTTTTCTAATAGTATCCAGCCCTTTAGGACTTCTCCATACACTGAACATTAAAACTATTGATTTATTTATACATTACAATTTCAAAACACATTAAATATACAAATATACATTTATACATTGTTTGATCCTTTTTGGTTCATTATAGTATATATATATTAGTATGTTATAATTGTTATATATACTGAGTATACAATATGTTACTATATATATATATATATATTATATATATATGTATATATATATGTATATATTATATATAATATATATATATATATATATATATATATATATAT